GAACATATATAAAATAACAAAGAAAATGTTTCTTTTAATGCAATATTTAAAAATGTCTAATTAATAAAAAATTTTCATCTGTAATTTTCTTTTTTGATGCTATTTCTACTGTTTTCCATAAAAATTGTCAAAAAAATTTAGTTAGTACACGAGGTGTATTAACTTTTGTGTCCTAATAATTTACTAGTAAATTACTTTAACGATTCACCGATCATAAAATCTGTTATTAGTGTAATTGTTATTGCATCTAATATGATTTTGATTAATTAGTATATGAAATACCCCAGCGGCACATCACTAATCATACCCACCTTCTGAATTGTCTATATAAACCATTCCTCTCGTATTCAGTAGGAGCTTCAAATTGGCATTATTGTATCTTGCTCTTCTATACCCGGGGTACCCACGTCCGAAAAATAATGTATGCTCTTTAACGTAATAGAACATTTTTTTAAATATAGTATTATATGAAATAAAGCAAAAACTAGTCGTAAAACAAAGTGGATCATGAAATTTGAAACAATACGTTCGTTATTAACAGTTTTTTACAATTAGTTTTTTACTTTATTCTGTATAAACATTTTTTAAAAAAATCTCTGTTACATTAGGATGCATATCTCAAAAAACATTCATGTATTATTATTTATATATACTCATTTCGAAGATATCTTTTTTTTTTGAAAGTAGCAAGATTCACGTCATATAATTTTGATGATTGAATGTTCGAACACCCCAGCATTGAGTAAACTCATATAAGTTACTAAATTGCCTACTTGTTAGAATTATTAGCGAACTTATAGTATGCTGGGTTGTAAATGATAGTTTTCTATACCATTAGGCATATAAAAATTATAATATTTGTTTAATGGCTTTTTCCCATTAAACTATATAAACTCACAACTCTGGGGCCTAAAGGCTTTGTCATTGATGAAAGTCTTGTCAAAAATTTTTAAAAAAGATAAAACGACGAAACTAATGAGTTAATAAATTTAATAAATCTAAAATTAGTAAACATAAAACTAATAACAGTCACATGATTTGTCACACAGATCACAAGGGTAAATTTTTTACTATGAAATTTGAGTGATCGATATTTATATAATCGATCCATTTTTCATAGTAAATTGCAACGGTAGACCCTTTTCAATCAGCATTTTCAGGGGTTATCTAAAAGGAAATCGTGCTTACAAGTCTAGGCACAACAGTTAAGCCACACAAATAATTTCTTGCTTTTTAGTTTAAACTTAGAAAAACAATAAACTTGAGAAAGATCGCACTGTCAAAAATAGCCTTTTGTTTTATTTTTTATAGTTCTTATAATGTATTAGAATCTTTAAAACTTTTTGAGCAAAATTCACATACCCACCCAAGAATATAAATTTCTGGAGGTGCTAAAATAAAAACTTTTAACTTTTGAGAAGGTATGTACTCCACGCTTAGATTATACTGTTTTAACAAGAGATTTATAGATCGTAGTTACTTTTTTTTTTAATTTTTAGAAAAAGCTGTATAGCGTGCATAAGGCCATGAAAGTTAATTTTTTATTTTACTTATATAGAATCTAAAAATTGAGTCAGTTGGTCAGATTTTTATTTATTTTATATCTATTTTAAATTAATAAAAATGTGTTCATATTTAAGGCTACTCAAAGTTAATTTTTTTTTGCATAACAAGGAATTAGAAAATTGGGTTGGCAAGACATTTTTTCTGTCAGTCCTGTTAGATAATTCCGTGATGTCAGTCTTCACTGGATAAATGGCAGAAAAAAAAATTAAGTAGCAAAAATCGAATAATTGGCACAATTGGGATGTAAAAGAAAAAAAAATTTGAAAAAAATGGGTCAGCATATAATATAAAAGAAAATGCTGGATTTGTATCAAAGCACCCAACAACATGTATTTATTGAAGATTGAATATATTAAATTTAGAAAATCTTCTCTTATTTCAATGGCCGTATTCAAAATAACATGTAGGTCGATTAATTAGCGTGCAAATGAGCGTTATCTCGTGCTTATACTGTAGATATTTTACATCTTCTTATTATATAATTTGGTTATCTAACTAACCAGATCTTCTGTAATTTCCAAAATACTTATCAGCTTTTTTAAATCTCTCAAAATTCCAATTCTATTTCTATAACAATAACCAAGTTTGGACATTCCGCCAGTATCTTCCATCTCGGCAGATTTTTGATTAACGATATTATTGATTCATGTCGTCATTCATTTTCTGCCACCAATAGATAAAACTTTTACCTTTACAGAACCTGATAACCTTGAAGTCGGTCACTTTTCCGGAATTATTCAAGATTCTGCTATAAGTAAGAAACAAGGTTAAACTTTGGCGCCAAAACTTTAATGAAGATTACTTGGCACTTACCTAGTTAAATTTAATCAATTTTTTTTATTTTAATACTATAGAATTAAAATAAAAAAAAGTTAATCGAATTTGACTAGGCAAGTGCTAAATAATCTTTGTTTAAAGTTTTGGCAAACAATCATTTGCAATTAAAAAAATTCATGAACAAGATTTTTTTGACAAGGTAAATTTATTGAGTTTTGTTTTGCACAATAAATGAACTGAATTATTAATTTAAATTATTAATTTATTTGTTGCTATTTTTAATATTTTAATCAGTGGTAATCAACAAACGTTTATCTAATTAATTTTTTGGAAAAATTACAAATAAGGGCGCGCTCAAATATCCATGATCAAGCCCCATCGATCAATGACTCGAATGTGATACATAATATAGTCATTAATTATCAACTGCATAAGAAATGTAATAACAAATTCAAATGCGCAATAAAAAATGTACGTACTTCTTCTAATCCATTCAATTCACTAAATATATCTTTAAAAAACCTGCTTAGAACAATTACCATATTATATACATTACAAATCGGCAATACTTTTACTAATATGAAAAATGTTTGCTCAGCCTTGAACTGTTACAAACCAAACCTACGAATGAAAATAGTTCATACCCTTTTACTGTTTCAGTTAACAAGTGCAAAGATGGTTTTATTATATAATAAAGTTGATTTCTCATGATCTAACTTGTCAAACTTTTATGAAATCATTAACAGAATCATGTGTTCTTGATAATAAAATTTTGCTGTCACCTACAATTAAACAAGTAAGATGGCCACAAAAATTTAGTTGCGTAGTCATGGAGAAATGGCATCAGAAAATCAGGTTACTGTAATAAAAAGGGCATAATTCACATACATGTAGTTGAAGACTTAGAAATTGAAAATAGTATGTGTATTTTATTTAATATTAAATAGTTTCTATAACATATAATTAGGCTTGTGTAGTAACATTCAAAATTGGGGTTTGGGCTCTATAGCTTAGTGGTTAAGCTGCCAAACCCCCACAGTATAAGCTAAGGTCCACGGTTCGATTCAG